CAAACCGCGGCCGCTTTACCCCGGGGAAGAGAGCCTCGGTGCCCGCTGGATAGGAGGCTGGCTTGATCCCAGAATCGATCATAACGTGGAGGAGGAAAACTAGCGGCAGCAACAAGAACAAGAACAACATGTAGAACTGCGAGGTATAAGGCCAGTGTGATCTTCCGATTGCTCAAACGTTGGAACCGCAGATTGGTATCCGCTGGAGGCAATGTCTGCAGGACTTTTGAAGGGCCGATTCTTGGTCCAAAGAGTCCTATCAAACTTCTGAAAGGATGCAGTCTTTCAGAATTAGATCTGTATGGGACAGGTCAAATGACTTAATACGTGGACACTGCATAATGACAACGGCTACATGGAACAGGGCCATTGTTCAGCTAGGCAGGGCATTCTCAATCTCTTATGGAATCCGAACGTTCATACCGTGACCACGGTAGCAGGCCAATGGGGAACACATGATTCTCGTTCACATCACCACACCCTGTTTGTTTATAGTCCACTTTAATATTGAAAAATACTCCTTTCTAGGGCGTGATGTGTGGCTTGGTGGAAATGTACAAACATTTTGGAGGAACATATTGTTTCCATCTTCATGGACGAAGACTCAGCCGAGCATGCACGCAGAATAGTTTCTTGCTTGCTTGGATTACTGTGCGACCCTGATGATGGAGGCAATGTCTTCTCCCGAAACGTTGGTAATCTTTTACCGCACTACTTAACGCCACAGCTCAGAAGACAGCACAGAACTATTCGTAGTCTCCGACATGGGAACTACAAATTTTAATATTATCTTTAAGTCGCACACAGGTATCTTCCTCACATTCAGATTTTTGCAAAACAAAGCTGTGTATACTGGCAATATTATTATGTAGGAGAACAAGTCGCATCTGTCTCATAATGGCCGATTGTTTCAGCAGGTACAGTACAGCGGCTTGGCTGTGATGACCGCTGTCCGAGCAGTCAAGGTCTTGCTGGTTATCTAACCAGCATCAGTATTGTCAATACATTATACAACAGCGTTCTAGTCATTGCCTGCATGTCCTTAGACTTAATTCAATTATACACTGAAATTACGTAAAGTAGGAAGGCGATCAAAGAAAAACGGAAAGGCATTTAGAGTTTCTCCAGTCTACACGCACACTGCAAATATTTTCCAATGAGCTATGCGTTTTGCGATTTTACGCACAGTGTACACCGAACGTACATACGCACAGACAAGAAACACATACGCCATATTGTACGATTATATAAATATACATAACGTGGAAATAGCATACCAGTATACCACACACTAACAACACGAACACCATAGAAACTTGACTTTGGGCTCCACAACCGGGCTCACTACGTAGAAAGCTTCTACAACATAGACCTACAAACATGTGCCCAGTTTCCTACACTGTAGCAGTGGGCCCTTAAATACTTCAGTTGGCATGCACATCCTTAACCTACCACACGAAAAAAAAATCATTTAATATATTCTTACACATTTCTTTAAAATATTGTGACGTGCTATATGACGTCCATCGCTGTGCAACGGCTGCAATTGGAACGCATACTTCCGCGACAACGGATACATGGAAATTTTTTAGTTCCCACAGCGACGAACTGAATACCAACAGACCGCTGCGTGGGAATATCCGTAGCAACGAATTGTTTGAAACAGTGGGAATAACGCATTCCCGCAGTAACAAGCATAGAACACGTGAAATCGAAACCTGGGAGACGGTGCTCTCTATTCCGTCCCGCAGTTGAGTTTGTATTCGACTCAAGCAGGAAGAGTCCTTCGACAAGGGACCAAGACACTTGACGGAGGATAGCGGAGCAAGTAATTATAACAGTGAAGAAGAAACGTCCGAAGACGTTATAAGTGATCATAATTGCACTTGTAAGTGTAAAAGAGATTGGCCAATAAATATTCGCTAAATCCAAGACCTGCGTGAATTTATTTGTCGCGTTACATAAGCAACACACGACAATAATTTTAACATTTTTAATAATATATTAAACACAATATAAATCTTAATATATGGTATACTTTTATATTTAAGTTTTATCTTTTATCTTATTTATGTATTTGTTACTTTAATTATAACACCAACTTCAGGCAAATTTCTGTGTCAGCATACAATACGACACGTTGCAATGATATGGATCCGTATCGGCTGTTCAGTAACTGTACGTACTCCTGTACGTAACTGCCTGATCATATGGCCGCGCCATAGCTCAAGCGGTTAGTCGCTGGCTTCCCACCACGGCGGCCCGTGTTCCATCCCGAGTCTGGTCAAGTGGGATCTGTGGTGGACACAGTGGCGCTGGGGCAGGTTTTCTCCAAGTGCCAATCTTCATTCCACCAATTGCTCCACAGTCATTCTCACCTATCATCTGGGGCTGGTACAATAGTCCAGAAGTGGCCGCAGTACAAGGGACTTAGTCCCACCCCACTAGCAATAAAAAACAAGAAAACTGCCTGATGATGGTCTTGTCCGATCGAAACAAGTAGCAGGAATAAAGATCGAATATTAAAACTGAGTATATGTGTTGTGTTGACGGTTGACATATAATTCCTATATATATTTTGCAAGCCATTTCAATCTCAGCTGGTTATCCTGATTTGGTGCTCTTCCTAGATCCCCTAACCTTTCCAGGATTATGCCAGGACAGTGCCTCCAAACAAGCAACCTACCCCATTGTAGCTCTGTTCATCAAAATCTCACAGGCATCAGAGGGATTGAACTCTAATGAGAAACAGCCTACCAGCCTGGACTGTGGGTCGTAGTAGCTTTATACTTCATATTATGTAACATGAATTGAAAGTCACTTAAGTCTTAACTTCCCTGACGTCTGTAATATGATTCATAACTCGGCCAATCACAGTTTGTTCTTCATAACTGTACTAAAATTCCATCAGATGACCACAACTATACTCCGATTGCAAAGGCGAACCGTGATGAAAGTGTGTCAAATGGATCTATTGAACCAAACATATACACATAATGTAAAGCGTCTGTACATTCAGGTAAGTGAAAGAGAGCCCACGCTAATCGACTGAAAATCCAATGGCTTTTGGTTGATTGGTTTTTGTTGCAATGCATTTGAACCAGTTGTAAACACTCTGAACAACAATAGGCTATAGAAATGAAATCGATACAAACGATAAATATTGATAACCACAGAATGCGATCATTGAACAAAAATGAGTACTCATATCGGATACACAACGATAAAGAGAAAAAAGAAAAAATGGGACAAATATTTCTAGCTCATGTCTATGGCTTCAACTGAATCATAATGAAGCAGGCATTTTCACCTCAACCTGTGAATACAATCCAAATAAGTAACTAGATAAATGGAGCTGAATCCATCTTGGGGAGCCAACGATTGCTTTACTGCTCAAGAAATTTCATACATTTTATGGAACACAAAGTTTCAGAAGAGCGTCGTGCTGGTTCCCATCTTGAGCCACATAAATCCAATCAATACTCTTCCATTCCACTCCTTTAGGATACATTTTAACATTATCCCCCCCCCCCCTCCGCCTAAGTCTCCCAAGCAGGGCTCTTTCCCGCAGGTTTTCCTACCTTCACGTCTGTATCTTTTTTCTCTTCGATCCCATGCGTGTAACCACTACCTCCCACCACCCTCTCCTTGATTTCATGAGTGTCAATGTAATCCGAGGCTCTAATCTGGTTAGCTTAATGTACATACTTTTATTAATGACAACATCTAAAAAGGACTGGAACTTCTGATTCCCTGGTTGTCTAGTAAAAAGTTTATATTTATTTAGGAATTCGGTAAAACGTAATTTCCTTAAGTCTACAGATTACGAAGGAGTCAGGATAGCATAGCCGGTATAGCGACCGGCTACGGAGTGAACGACCGAAGGGTCGGAGTTCGAGTTCCCATAGGATTGACAATTTTCTCTTCTCCACGCCGTCCAGACTGGCTCTGGAGCCCACCCAGCCTATCCAATGGGTATCGGGGGATCTTTCTCAGATGGTAAAGCGGCTGGGGCGTGAAGCTGACCACTCACCTCCAGCTAGTGCCGAGGTAAAAAATACGGATATATACATCCACTCCCCCATATGCCTTCATGGCGGAGTGTTTAATTAGTTAAGTACAGGTACAACTTTCCCTTTTTACCTACACATTACGAAGGCAAGTTAAAGCTATCCCTGTAAGAGGCAGTGGAGGCCCACAGGGTTCTAAGACGTCGAGGTTCCCATATTTTCTCTAGACAATCGGCTTACAGATGGCGGTAAGGTTGTCAGCCTTACGTGCCGACCATCCCTTCCCCCCCCCCCAAGAAGATTCCTGGTACTCATTTCTGTTAGAAGCTGAGTTGACCCCAGGGCCATAAGGCGGCTGGNGAAGGATTGGGTCAATTGAAAAAAAAATCCACCTCATCGGTACTTGAACCCGCGACCTTTCGGCTTGTAGCATAGTGCCTGATGCAACTACGCTACCGCGTTACGAAGCTCTTGAGAATAATTTATGACACATTTTTAGTGTGGCTGTATTTCTCTTCTTGTGATGTACGCTGCATTACTGTGAAACAGACGACGCAAAAGGAGGTAACTTTTATATTAGTGAATCTGTTAAATAAAATGGGTGTGAGGAAATAATTTCCCTTTGACTGAGAAATTTAGCAGCCGTACACAGTAATAAATACTTAATATCGACTGAACGCCCTGCGAAAGACATGAGTAATGCTCACCTAGGCTGCGCCATAGCTCAAGCGGTTAGTCGCTGGCTTCCCACCGCGGCGGCCCGGGTTCGATCCCGGGTCTGGTCAAGTGGGATTTGTGATGGACAAAGTGGCGCTGGTGCAGGTTTTCCTCCGAGTACTTCGGTTTCCCATGCCAATCTTCATTCCGCCAAATTCTCCATCATCATAATCACCCGGGGCAGGCTACAATAGGCCAATCAGTGGCCGCCGTGCCGAGTGGACTCAGTTGGACTCCACCCACCACTAAGTGAATTAAAACAAGAATGCTCACCTGTATTTCCTGTATGAGTTCCTGCTCGTCCAGAAGTACCACCTTCACATGGTGAGTGCGGATTCTCTTGCAGAAGCAACGCATTGTGAGGAGCTGATGACGTCACACTATCGGCATCAGATTCCGCACTGACAGCGGAGCAATGTCTCGGCTCTACCGTATTCTGGTCACTCCCGACGGCTGATCTTCCTAAAAATGAAATAAAATCGGTGTTTACGCAGCAACTGCAATATTCCGTTCAGAAAACCGACTTGTAGGTCTTTTTCCGGTATTCCTGGGCCTACACCACTTTCTATACAAGGAGTTTCGGAGTTTCTTTCTCGGGAAAAATCTTTAGAAGCGATATGAGTTACCTCAGTACAGCCACGAGACACAGAATGACATTTTACATTATTTTATTTCTTTCATTCAAAACTTCATACAAGCCTTCGTTCAAGGCGCGTCGCACAGGGACAAGACCACTTCTGTTCATGACTTATGCAGCACGTTTCTATCATTATCATTATTCAGTTACGCTTATATCATGAAGCTTCGAATAGCTCAGATAACAGCATCAAGCGAATATATAATCAGAGAATAATGAAATGGAAGGGCTGCAGAAGGAAGCGGTCGTGGCCTAATCGGAGATACTGTCCTGGAAATTTGCTTGCCGAAACTGAAGAAAACCGCGAAAATCCTCAGAATAATTGACGCCCGGACCGATATCTATGCAGCGGACAAATCAAGAAATAAACTATGGCAGAGAAAATTAGGTAATGAAAATCTTCATGGTTTTCACTTTTCACAACACATTGCAACCATTAAATAAAGTGGATGAGTTAAGTGGGGCATGCGACACGCTGCAGCGAATTGTAGCTGAAACCACAACTGGAAGAGAGGATGATAACATTAAAACGAATTTCAGAGGATTAGTGCGAGAGAGGTAAAGAATCTTTGAATCCCATAAAAATCGGGTAATTTCTTAACTAGATCATCAAATTTTCAAACAAGGACGGCTTTGCTGTCACAGAATTGGTTTATCAGTCATGGGGTTGAGAAATAATCCAGGCAACGATCACCTAACCAAAGATGCCACTCTTTCAGCTGCTCACACACAGGTGCCAAGTCCCACAATTCCTCCTGATGCGATGTACATACCAAGAGAGGAAGAGGCCACCGAACATGAGAGTGGCTCAGGGAGAGTCCTTGACATGGCAACAGAGCAACAATAACTTGTGATTATACAAACATGAATACAGAACAGTCAACATTACAATTCTTTTTTACGAAAGAATGTATCTTATTTGCATTAATGTTTAGTGCTCGAGTTCGTTCCTAGCCAAGTGTGTGGACTGTCAGCCACTTTGTCGCGTCACACCAATAGGCTGTAAAGCGTCTATCGGTACCCTATCAAGGTAGGCAGACGATCCTCCACGTAACGCGATTACGGGTAGCTGTACAGCTTAAGTAGGCCTGTACCACGAGTGTCGATAATTCCGGCTCTTCGTGCCCTTCTCTGTTCCTCTAAAGAAGCGCTTGGATATTACCTAAGAACATAAATACAACTCTTCATCCTGCTTACTCCTCCGGTCTTTCATTCCAAACTGTCTTACCATTCGACTAGGCTGTATGTTCTTGACAGAAACGCGCCAAAAGAAGACTGGATACCTACAAACTGTGGCTTTAGTCCGCAAGCGAAATATACCGACCGAGCGACCGCCGCTTATTGGCGAGGTTAGTACCAACTTTAGCGGATAGAGGGTGTCGCGTTGTCAGAGCAACGGATCCCTACAGCCGTTAATCTCGGTTTTCTAGACCGGAGCCGCTACTAGTAGCTCCTCAATTATCCTCACGAGGCTGAGTGAACCCTGTTCCCGACCCATTACTTCCCAGACAATCTAGTAGCGCCGGGAATTAAACCCGATACCTTTCCATCTATAGCCAGGAACTCTGACCACTAGGCCACAGAAGCGGTTAAGAATGGACACCTGAAGTTAAAAATATGACGCAAGAAGCGCACGTCTTCATGGCAAGGATTAGAAGAGGCTTATTTAGAATAGTTCAAATCTGTTTTACGTTTCTTGATTAGTTTTTTATACAAAGAGAAATGGCAAATTAAACGCAAAAAAAAAGTTTGGAAGAAGTTTATAAAAATAATCAAAATCGATATAGGTTTTATCTGCCATTTACAATAAATGTACGAAATAAAGCATAACTGCGCGGTTTTGTCTATCCGCGGCATACTTTATCTCCGAACCTACAAAACGAATTTCGACGAGATGATGTGGCTTGTGTGTCGCTCTATATTACCGAGCCCTGCCACTCATTTCTGGCACCAGGTTAACAAAAACAATCGAACGGAGGTCCTGTACTTGACATTCGCGTACCTCACAGCAGAGAGGAAGGAAACCCTTCTCACTCGTCTCACTAACGTTCCTCTTTATTTTGTACGTAAAGAAAGAATTATAGGAAGAACTAATAACCTACTATCCTTTGATACGACACGGACCGCATAGGAAACGACAGGGCCAACAATTCTATCGCTGCATGTGTATACGTTGCCGCGGTCACATTTTCACCGAGCTGTTGCCTAGCAACGTTAGGGTAATACACACAGACAGATGGGAGAGATTCATTAAGTACGCTGCTGAGATGCGCTCTGGTGTCACGATACACACACGGATCATACAGATCATATAGATTGGTTCAGGCATTCAAAAATTGACAGGGGGGATTCACAGACACACAGACAGCGTGGTAATCTCATAAGCCTGCTTCTATTCTTTCAAATGAGGAAATTAGGCCACAAAGACAAACTTATGGAAGTGGATTGTTTAGAGCGGGCTCGTTATATTCAAGGGCTGAGAGAGTGCACGGTACAAGTACATGGTTCGCCTTTACTGTATGCTGTAATACGAGTGTATGGATACCTTCAAAGGTACATCAGTGATATCGCTATAACAGAAAAACTTAAAATCTAATGACCCTTACTGTTAATAAATACAGAAATTGCATTTCGAGTGTGTTATATGACACACTCTAATGAGCCCATTACCGGAATTTAAATGAAAACTACATACAAAGAGAACACTAAATTAACGTCCCCAAGTTCAATTAATCAGCGAGTGAGGAGACCAGAGCCCTTACACCCTTCAAAATAAATCCACTGTAACTGAACACGCATGCGCGTCGATGTAGACAGTGCTGAACGTATCAGCAAGATATAGCTTATCTTATGATCTAAGTGCGGTAACTCAGTAAGTTACTGTGTAAGATTTGAGGCTTTCACGGCGGTGACTATGAAGAAAGCAGTCTTCTGGGCTTTGGCGCCGTGTATATGTGGTGTTAACCGACGTTTCGGAGGAACGTATCGCCTCCATCTTCAGGGTTGAAGAAAAAGTATAGGTAAATCTGCAAGCGACAACACCGTGAGACACGGTAACGCAGTCTGCAGACGGCGCCAAAGCCCAGAAGACTGCTTTCTTCTTTCAGTAAGTTACTGTTTCCGAATTTCGAATTGTTACAACAGAAAGGAGAAAGCCATTTAAATCATGAAACTTTTCTTTAAATATGTAAAGAATATAGGAAAAGAAAAAGCAAAAAAAAAAAAATAAAGCGATCCCTGTAACAGACCGCGAAGACCCATAGGGTTGTGAGATTTCGACATTCCCATATTTTCTAGACAATCGGCTCATAGATGGCTTCTAGTTCACAAATTTCTGTAAATTTAGGTTAATTCGTTCCCCCCCCCCATTAACGGCTCTTCCAGCCCATTCAAGGCCCAGGCCTCTTATTCCGTTCTGTAATCATTTTTCAGACAGTAGACCTTTGGATGAGTGATCAGCCTGTCGCAAGGCCCCTACCTTAACACAGGACAGGTCAAACACAGAACAAACGCACAAAACATCCATGCCCTGAGTGGGATTTGAACCCATGATCCCAGCGGTCGAGCGAGCGAAGATAGTTGATGCCTTCGCACGGCTACTCTGTACGGCTTTTATGCTAATTCTAACATACTGAAACACCTTCCACAAGAGATACAAAAATGAAATTCTGTTCCTCTCACCTACGGATATAATTGTTTTGCGAAGTTCTGTTATTATATCCGGTAAGTTCAGTCTTTGCGAGCGGATGCGTAAGCTAGTAGCATGGTTATACTTTATGTCTTATGTCTGTGCGATTGGTAAGCCTGGTATCACGGGTACTTCCACGCGCTTCGCGTAGCTGCAATTAAAAATCTGACACATTACTTAACGATCGATAACAATATGTGGTGCCAACAAAGTCATCAAAGCAAGTTTCAGTCGACCCAGTTCTGAGCTGAAACAGTTCACGGAAACAAGCCACGTGACTAATATATCGCGAAATTCTGCAGCCCTCCAGCTTTGCGGGTGTGAAAATGCACGAAGACTACATGTGAATCCAAATGAGAACTACCGTATTTACGCATGTATAGGCCGCGTGCGTGTATAGGCCGCAGCACAATTTTCAGACAGAAATTATAGAAAAAATAATTTTCTTGGAATATTATTTCAGGAGTAGAAATTATTCCGAAATTTGGCAACGTTTAACATTCCTAAGTTCGCAACTAGCGAAAATAACGGTACCGCTCGGAACAAAGGCATTGCGGGGGAGAGTTATAACCTTTTCGCCTTTACTTGACTTGCCTGGTTAGTTCTGAGTGAAACATGGGTCGAGTAAGAGCAGGTTATACGTCTAAATTTAAACTTCAAGTGGTGCGTTACGCACAAGAACACGGAAATCGAGCAGCAGGGAGAAAATTCGACGTTGACGAAAAAATGTGCGAAGATGGATACTAACGAAAGATGCCCTTGAAAAAACTTCACAAAATCGACAATCTTTCCGCGGAAAGAAAGCTAAATTTCCAGAACTTGAAAATAAACTTTTGCGATACGTGCGTAATACACGGGCGGATGGATTTTCAGTGTCTGTGGAAATGATTCAATTTGAAGGCCTCAAAATAGCGGACAGAATGAAAATTCCTCGTAATGAATTTAAGGGAAGTTATGGATGGGCAAGGCGCTTTATGGCCCGACATGATCTTGTAATTCGGCGACGGACGTCAATAGCGCAGCGCCTTCCCGACACATACCAGGAGAAACTGCTTGCATTTCAAAAACATGTCCTGAAATTAAGAAAGACGCACAACTACACCATGGGAGCTATTGGAAATGTTGATGAAACTCCTG